CGCTCACATATTATTGATATTAGATAGTGAGTCCAAATTACGTTTAGAAGATGACATTGTGACTGTATAGTTAAGGCAGAAATTCCAGATGAGGACCATTGTCCTTGACTTTTTCAAATTGTAAAATCAAATATGGTACATGGACCATGTGGAATACAAAATCCAAATAGTCCATGTATGGAAAATGTTCAAAGGGATATCCAAAAGAATTTCAAAATGCGACCATTGGAAATAGTGATGGATATCCCAAATACAAAGATCTGGTAGCACCATTTCTATTGGAAATAAAACTGTCAATAATACTTGGATTGTCCCTTATAACCCATATTTGTGCCTCAAATGTAACTGTCATATAAATGTTGAAGTCTGTGCATCAATTAGAAGTGTCAAATACCTATTTAAATACATCTATAAAAGGCACGATTGTGAAAATATTCAAGTTTTTGAAAAAAATATGATCACTCATGATGAAGTACAGGACTTCATTGACTCCAGGTATGTGAGTGCTCCTCAGGCTGTTTGGAGACTTTTTGGAATGCAAATGTATGACCAATCGTATGCAATCACAAGATTAGCTATTCATTTGCCAAATGATCAGAATTTGTATTTTCATACTGATGATTTTGCTGAAGTTTTAGATAGGGCTAAAAGGCATAACTTGACTTTGATGGTTTGGTTCTTATTGAATAGAGAAGACTCTGATGCACTAATTATTATTATTGGGAGATTCTACAGCAATATGTGTTTAATAATTCTTTGTGGACAAAACACCGAAAGGGTGTAAATGAAGTATTAGGTAGACTGTTCACTGTGAGCTTTAGAAAACCAGAACGATATTAACTTAGACTTTTGCTTCTGCATGTAAAAGGTGCGATAAGTTTTGAGCATCTGCGAACTGTAGGAGGGGTGTAACTTATGATACATTTCATGAAGCTGCTAAACACCGAGGATTATTACTTGACGACACTATCTGGAAAGATACGCTTGACGATGCAATCATCCTTAATATGCCCAAACAACTACGGCAACTTTTTGCATACACATGTGTGTTTGGATGTTGTTCTGCTGCAGACAAATTATGGGATGAGAATAAACCTTGAAAGTTTCTCTTGGAAATTACGCCAAAGTGAAGGTACCTGTGTAAACTGAAACACATGCCCTTAACGAAATTCAGGAGGTATTCACATTACATGGAATGAAATGTTCACATTTCAAACTTCTGGACTATCCTTTATTAATGAATGCAAATACATGTGATGAATTGTATGAGCAACAACAGGCAGAAGTTTTGATAAATTCTCTGAATGATGAACAGTTGGCAGCCTTTCAGACTATAACTTCAGCCATTGAAGATCAAAGTGTACAACCAAATGTTTTTTCTTGGATGTCCAGGTGGTAGTGGAAAAACATCTGTATAAAGTTTAAACACATTATATTAGAGGTCGTGGTGGTACTGTTTTACCCACAGCATCTACAGGAATTGCTGCAAATTCACTTCTTGGTGGAAGAACCTTTCATTCCCAATATAAATTACCAATTCCATTAAATGAAACTTCAATTTCTAGACTCGATATAAAGAGTGAAGTTGCTAAAACCATTAAAAAGGCCCAACTACTTATTGATGAATGCACCATGGCATCCAGTCATGCTATAAACACCATAGACAGATGACTAAGGGAAATTATGAATTTGAATGTTGCTTTTGGTAGGAAAGTTCTCATTCTCGAAGGGGATTTTCAACAATGTCTCAGTATTGTACCGCATGCTATGCGATTGGCTGTAGTACAAACGAGTTTAAAGTACTGTAGTGTCTGGGAATGTTTTAGAGAGTTGTCTCTTACAACAAGTATGAGATCAGAGGAATCTGCTTATAGTGAATGGTTAGTAAAACTTGGAGATGGCAAACTTGATAGCAGTTTCCATTTAGGAATGGATATTATTGAAATCCCCCATGAAATGATTTGTAACAGATCTATTATTGAAGCCACCTTTGGAAATAGTATGTCTATAGATAATATTAAAAAAATATCTAAACGTGCAATTCTTTGTCCAAAAAATGAGCACGTTCAAAAATTAAATGAAGAAATTTTGGATATATTTGATGGAGAGTTTCACACATATTTGAGTAGTGATGATTCCATTGACTGAACAGATGATGCCGAAAAGGAGAGTTTTCCCATCAAATTTCTTAATAGTATTACTCTTTCAGGATTGCCGTGTCATAAATTAAAATTGAAAGTGGGTGCAATCATCAGGCTATTGAGAAATCTCAGTAGTAAATGGGGTCTTTGTAATGGCACCAGATTTATTCTTGAAAGACTAGAGGCCCAGTGCACAAAAATTTGTGCACTCGAGGGAGGAGGGGGCCCCTCAGCCCGGACTGTGCCCTCTCGCAGCCTGGGACCCCTCAGGGGATGACCACCTGCTGGCTTAGGCCCGCTCCCTGGGGGATTGGGCCTAAGATGGCAAGCAGACATCTCTCTGACAGTCCGGCAGCCCTTGGGGATGTCCACTTGCAGCAGGGAGCAGGCCTAAAGCTGCAGTCAGACATCCTTACTGATGCTGAGGAGGCAGGAGAGGCTCCCACCACCACCGTTGTACTGGCAGCCATCAGCCTGGCGTGTGGCTGAGCAGAGCTCCCCCTGTGGGAGTGCACTGACCACCATGGGGCAGCTCCTGCATTGAGCGTCTGCCCCCTGGTG